ACCTTCTGGCCCCCCCCCCCCCCCCCCCCCCTTTCACCATTGTTTCTGCATTCTTGTCCCCACCTGCTGCGCCGACGGACGGCACTGGAGAACGAAAAAGCCCCGGATTTGGGCTGTGCTTTCCATGGGCACAGAAAAGCCCCACCTACGGGAAAAAAAAAATAAAAAAATCCCACAGTTTTCACATGCCTTTAGCACCCGGGGTGGGCAGACGGACGAGCGGCGCGCACGTCTGGCTGCTCCTGCTACCGTCTTCACCCGAATAGAACGCCCCGTCGTTATAGCTGTATCTGGACTGCAAATTGCATCAAATACGGCTATAATGATCGGGCATTCTATTCAGGTGAAGACGGTAGTGTAGGGTCAGAGTGAATTTCTTGAGTAGAAACAAGTAAGACACAATCATCATGACAATGTCAACGACGACAACAGCGATGATAATGATGATGACAACATCGCTGACGACCGGGATAATGGCAATGACCCCGAAGAAGAGGGTAGGGCGAGAGAGGGAGAGAAGGGAGAGAGGGAGAGATGCGAGGGGAATGAGGGAGACAAGGAAGGGGAAGAGAGGGCGAGGGAAGAGGCGGTGTGCAGAGGATGTTGGGTGAGAGAGAAAAGGGGACAGGATGGAGAGAGAGGAGGAAGAGGAGAGGGGGGAGCAGAGAGAGGGCGATGGAAGAGGAGGTGTGCAGAGGATGTAGGGTGAGAGAGAAAAGGGAACAGGATGGAGGAGAGAGAGGAGGAAGAGGAGAGGGGGAAGCAGAGAGAGGGGGAGGGAAGAGGAGGCGTTCAAAAGATGTTGGGTGAGAGAAAAGAGGAGAGGATGGAGGAGAGAGAGGGGGAAAGGTAGAGGGGGGAAAGGGAGAGAGGATGAATGAATGGAAAGTACAGAAAAAGGATGCTGCCGTACTCGAACCATCTCGTCGACATCTCTGAGCCAACCACAGAGGTGAAACATTTCAGGCCGGTGGGCGAGGGAAGAGGCGGCGTGGGGGAGGGTGTCGGAGGAGAGAGCAGAGAGGAGAGGATGGAGGAGAGAGAGGAGAGGAAGGGCAGGAAGGTGAGAGCAGGGAGGGGAGGGAGGAGTAGGAATGAAAGGAAAGGACAGAAAAAGGATGCCACCGTATTACCGTAATCATGTCGTCAATATCTCTCCGCCAACCACAGAAGAGAATCTTCTCAGGCCGGTTTGGCTTTTCTCTCTTGGATGGGTAATCTGTCTTCCGCACCTGCAAGCAACAAAATCATTCAAAATAATAAATATATATTAATGAATAATTATTATTACTATTTAGTATTATTTTATTATTTTATTATTTTATTATTTTATCAATGATATTATTTATAAGTGAGGATAAAGGGAAAGGCAAAACAAAAAAAAAAGGAGCGTTAATTGGACCATTAAGTGGCACTGACAGGGAAAAGGAAAAAAAAGCATTACGACTGCCGCCGTCTATTTTTGCTTGTACAAACAAACAAAAAAGCGATAAAAAGACCTCCCACGCCTCTTACCCTTCTCCGCCTTTTGGCAAAAAATAGATCAAGTGCACTGTATTGCATGGGTCCTGGGGACCAACTCACGCAGATGTGCATACATCAAACATCGTCTTCACACTCAACGGACACAGTTGCCACACACGAGACAAAGGTAGATGAGAATAGGACCAAGACCCGTCACTTATATTATCAAAAATTATGATT